TAGCTTTATTTCCCTAAAATACTGGCACGCAGAGAAGCGGTTAACGGGGTGCTTTTAATACCGCCACAGCTCCAGCGACGACTGGGCTGTATTGATTGCGCCCATGTGGAACTACGTGCACCTTCTGGGGAAGGATCTATTTGTGTCACCCTGGGCAGGGATGGGGGCTCCACTGGAGGAGTAGAGAGCTCAGCCAATGGAGGATGCCAAAAACATCAAAACAGCCATGTTTACAGATTACCCAAAGGGAAAGCAAATTACAGCAATTATGCAGGCTGTGGGAATACTGATATCAGCATACCTGCTATTTTACCCAGAGACTACTTTTTTTGAGCCTACACAGACAAAACAGCGCACTCAATTTGATTTGATGGCTAAACCCTTGACAAACAATGGGGTTTAAACGAAGCGCCTCACATCGAACGCATACAAAACAATGGCTTTCTGGGGGATCAATCTGTTTGTGTTAATCAGGTGCAAAAAATATATTTTACTTGTTGGTTTGAAAGCGACTAAGTATTGTAGTTTTTGTATAAACAGTATAAATGATTGTCAAACACTGCAGCTCATATGGTGCTAGCATTTATCCAGTGCAGACAACATGTATAACAGAGGAGCCTTATCCAAAATCAAGAGTCTTTGTTTGCAGCTGTCGTGACATATTCATGACTCGGGCCATAATAGTCAGATTCCTGATATATCCCGCAGGGAGTGCAGAGAGAATGGTGTCACATCCAATTACTGCAGCACACTGTAGAGGTAAATCAAAACTCGTGCCGTGAACTGTGGAATCCAAGGTGCGAGCACACGCGCGCGCACACACAGCCTGGGCAAAGCAAGACTACAGTTATATGAAAATTAATATGATATTGGAAAACACATTCTCCCGGTAACTTGGAGGTCATATATGGATTACCCTGAGAAATGGGAAAGGCTGGAGGCTGCTGGATGCCTTTCTCCTCCGAACATCGACAGCCGAGAAGATCTAGGAGCGAGGCAGACGGCGCTTACGCGAGAATTTACAATTATAGATTTGTTCGTCCGCGAGCAGAAATTGAAATTGTAGATGAGGATGTAGATGTGGCCCTTAATGGTTGAGGAACAATCAGGTCCTCTCCAAACCTTCTGCTGAGCATCAATAAGATGCTTTCCAGCAAAGCAAAACAAATGCCTTTGTCTTATCCTCCACACTGGTCCTTGGGAGGCATGGTGGCTTTTTTTATTTTTTGGTTTTAGGGCATCTCAGCAGTGCACAGCCCCGTTTCACCCTGGAGCGGTGCAAAGCTCCTGCCCAATAAAACAGGCTGCATCCCCAGGGCCCCTCCCTCAAGCCTCCAGTCAGCGCTTGTTTTTGCACCATTTATTTAGTGTGACACATCTCCAATTAAACTGTGGAGGCTGCTGCATTCCCCCCCATAACTACCTCTTATACCTCCCCATAGACTTTCTGTCACACGGAGAGTGTGAGTATGAAAGAGTGAAAAGGAGAGTTAGCTGGAGAGAGAGAGAGAGAGAGATCACATCATGCCTGCCAGCTATGATCACAATGTCATTTTCTCCTCAGTGGTTAGGAGCCTCCTCTGAAAGGTACCCTGAATTATAATTATCAAAATATTGAACAAGATAATCATCCTCTTTAATGATGCTGCCACCTCACAGAAGCTAAACATGGATGGTTAGATGCTCTCGAAGCCTTTCAGAAACAAATGTCATATTTTTGGCTAAAATACAAGAATATGTCTTTGTTTTATGAACGTATTTCCAAAAGGCTTTACCATGCCATGTGTCCATCATGTGATTTTTCAAAATGTTTTGGAGGTAAGAGTCTCCTTGCCACCTCTCCATCCTCCCACGTTGGCCTCAGACAGTCACAGGAGGAGTGACTTTGTCCGACCCCAATATCGTCTGCTGGAGCACAGCTGAGGGCAGCAGCTGCCAGGGAGGACTGGTGGGGGAGCGCCCAAAACGCCGGCTCTGCCAAGTGCAGGGGCCGGCGGGAGCCCCAGTGGCAGCTGGGAAGGGTGGGGCAGCCAGCTGTGGAGCAGCAGGGTGGTGCGGGGGTGACTGGGTGGCGCCACTAAATCTTAGCAGGGATACATAAATGTGCACATCTGAAATATAAACATCCAGGCATGGTGAAAAAGTTCACACTCACTTTTTATTTGATCCCCCCCCATCCCCTTGAAGCACTTCTATTTACGCTTACCATCTGCACCGAGTCAGCGGCCCTCTTAACACCAAACACCACTCTCCCATCACGTGCTCAGGCCACACATCTGGTGTGCCATCTGCATCCCCTCCTCTCCGCCCAAAGTGACAGGTAGTCCCTCTCCCTCTCTGGAGGAGCAGAAAAGGAAAGAGGGACACGGAAGGTAATTTTGGGTGTCAATGTGCGCTGGCCCTCTCTGGATGCATCTGGACGGAGCAGACTTGCTGCTGAGCTGGGAAGGGTCATTATCAGCTGGAAACTCACCGCCAGATAGCAGATGAAGACAGAACAATTACATCATACTGTCACATCATGACAGCACCAATAGGGCTCATCTTGTTTATGATATCACCAGGAAGAGCACTTCTACTTAGAAACTGCTCAACAGTTCAAATTATTATATTAAACGTTACCAGAACCACCTTCTTCCACCTGCGTAATATCGCTAAAATTAGAAACGTCTAAAAATGATGCAGAAAAACTGGTTCATGCATTTGTCACATCTAGACTGAACTATTGCAATGGTTTATCTGTGTATCCAAATACTTCTTTAAAAAGTCTTGAGTTGATTCAAAATGCTGCTGCCAGAGTCTTAACTGGAGTTAGTGGGAGAGATCATCTCTCTCCAGTTTTACTTTCCACTGGCTCTCTGTCAAATACAGAATAGAACTCAAAATCTTACTTTTAACAAAGCCCTCAACAACCTAGCTGCATCTTATATTACAGATCTTATTGTTTCATATTTGCCTAAGAGAGCACTACGCTCTCAGACTGCAGGTTTACTTGTGGTTCCTAGAGTTTCTAAAAGCAGAATGAGAGGAAGATCTTCCAGTTATCAGGCTCCTCTCTCGTGGAACCAACTTCCAGTTTCTGTCCGTGAGGCTGACACATTGTCCAGTTTAAAGACTGGGATTAAGACTTTCCTTTTTGATAAATCCTAGTTAGGGTTGGTTTGTTATGCTGCTACAGGTTTAAACTACTGGAGGACAAATTGACCCAATTTCCTTAAATGAATTGTTACAATTTAACAGTTTTCATTTGATATTATTTCTATCTTAACGTGATTCTCGACCTGCCATTGTGTATCTGTTCCTACCAAACCCAGCCAGTCGATGCACGTTTGTCCCGAGCCTGGTTCTGCTAAAATGTTTCTTCCTCATGAGGGAGTTTTTCCTTTCCACTGTCGCCTTCATGCTTGCTCAAGATGAGAGTCCTGCAATAAATTCAAAGCAGTCTGCTCCTCAGATAATTAATGTTAACTTCATATATATGAAAGTTTCTGTTCGGTTCCCCGAGACGACTTCTGTTGTGACGTGGTGCTGTATAAATAAACTGAACTGAATTATATTATACACAGAAATATATTAAAGATTCTTCTGATTTATTATAATGTACAGTTTACATTGCCAAGACACAAACGTGACTTTTACGTGGATGAGTTGCAGAAAGAAAAAAAAAAAAAAAAAAACAACTAAATATTAAAAACAGCCATATTAACAATAGAGGACACGGAAATCCTCGTCTTTATGCTGCTGTACATGTGGGACCAATAAAATATGCACCATGATACAGATATCAAGCCAGTGATATAAAACTGCACAACCAATCTTTACTGTGAACTCATGGAATCCATTTCAAAACAATATTTTCACATCTTATGTTACATATTTGACAGTAACAATATTTACTTTGCACACACAACACTACTTGAATGACATCAACTTAGACGTTTATTCGAAAAGGAGACGAGATTCCAGCATTGTTAACTAACCATCTAACACTGCTGACAAAAATAAAATAAAATAAAACTGTAAAAAAATATAGCGTGTTAGATTGTTCTCATTCACCACTTTGCAGTCAATGGACAGGTCGGCGGTGCTTCGGGTGGGGGGGATTGGGGGGCTCAAGGGGACATTTATTCACAATCTGCAGTGGCATCTGCTACATTTTTACCTCACTGAGCATGACTGTTTAATGAAGGCCTTATTTTGTCAGGTGCTGTGGCATAAAAAAAATTTAAACTAATTTGAACAGCAAATTTTATGGGTTTTCACAAACAACACTTTTCAAGTGCCGGATATGCTGTTCACATTTGTTTGTTAAAAACAAAAACAAAACAAAAAAATCCTTTATCAGATTTCTACAAAATCCATGCCGCTGACACAACAGGTCTAAATTAATAGTCATACAATTTATATATTAAAAAAAAAAAAAAAAAGTTTGATGGGATTTGTCATCATTTAAGAGCATTAAAAAAAAATAGACATTCACTTTTTGAAATAAACAACACAGCTTTTAGTACTAGTTTTCAATGTCTTATACAAAGTTAGCTTGATCTAAAAAGCACAAAATAGATATTTTACATCACATACATCAAGACGTGTACCATGGTCTAGCTGGAAGTTCACCCGGCACATTTGCATCGTTTCATCTTTACAGTCCTCACACAAAGTTTCTACTGCTGGCATTATTGCTTCTCATGAGCGGGGAGCTGAATAATACAGAAGTAATGCACCGATGTTGGTTAAAACTTTACAGAGTCAACTGGAATCCAAAATTTTGCTAGCCCGTTCCACAATCTGCAATGCTAAAAGGATAAGGCAGTTCCATTTGTAAGGCATTGCTGCTTTGAGACATACCGGGGCAAAGTAAAGTCGTGGACTTCTTGACATTTTTATGTCAGTGTGCATGATGATAAGAGATACATTTTAAAGGCGAAGATAAAATCCCCCCAAAAAGTGGAAAATGTATCATTTGTTTTTGTGTGTTGGGAGTCCAAGAGAATCTGAGCTGAAACCATCATTAAGGTCTGCTTAGCAGTGGACCAGAGGTCAAAGCACAGAGATCAGAGCAGAGCTGTGAAGGTAGCTGTGACCATTTCTCATTGCTGGTAATTTCCATACTGGCCCTGTAGAGTGAGACGTAACAGACAAATGTTACTGACCTTCTCACAAACACAAAGTAAAAGCTTGTGTTCACAAATCTTAACACGGTGAAAAATATTTAAGGAAAAAAATAATCCTCTGGTTTCAGCAAATAATGATCTATGCCTGCATTGGCTGGTGTTGACCAGCAGGTGGCAGCATGGTTTCATTATATCTAAACTAGATTCTAATTTAATACATGGGGTTTGAACAGCTGCACAGCTGGGGAAACTATTTTTCATCAAGTTGTGGACACTAAAAGAGATAAGTTCAGAGTGTAAACAGTTCTATTGAACACATTCCTAAACAGGGGTCGAAATATTTGTTTGTCATCAACAAAAGATGTAATATTGACAAATTTGGAAACCAGGATTCGACAGCTCATATACGTAACACTTGAATATTAGGGGTGTAGTAGTACACACAATGTATGGTTTGAAATAAAACTTCTGGTTTATATTTACAGTTTGGGACATTAAAAAACTAAAAATATAAAATCATATGTAAGATGACTGGAGATTGTAAAAAAAATTAAAACAAAACAAAAGCACCCTTTTTTGTCAGCAGTAAAAACAAAGTGACCGAGGACAAACTTTGAAGAAAACAATACAATTACAATTAGTCATTTAAAAAACAACAAGTGAGGTTTGTTAATAAGCTCCGTCAGAGCTCTGCTGTGCACATTGTGGATGGGGGGGAATAAAGTTAAACATGTCAGTAAGCCTATTGCAGGTGTCTGAAAGTCTTGATACAAACTATTAAACTAAACTACTAAAGAAGTGACGCATTAACAAAAATGCTCCAGCTCGATATTTATGCAAATATGTTGGTTTTAATCAATAATTGGTTCATAAGGAATACTAAACTGAATAAATCTGAACATAAAGACTAGTTTGTGTACTATCACACCCCTATGAAATACTTTTATCATATAGGAATAGTTCAGGTCTTTTGAGTGCGCGTCTTGCAGAAAGGTAAAGAATATCTTACCTGTTGTAGATAGCTCCCTACAATATTCGTTTTTTAATTTGAGTTTAATCTTGATCAAACTGACTAGGCAAGTAGGGCCAAGAACAAAATGGCTTGCTACCTTATTAAAACCCAAATCACAAAAATCTTGACAGCAGTTCATACACTCTGTGTTTTGTAAACATTTACGTTGCCGTCAATACTGCATTACAGATTTGAGTAAATATTACAATACTTATGCCAGAAGTGTTACAGCTTGCTGCTGGTGTTATTTGTGTTTGCAAATAACCACATAATTCTACACAAATGCAACGATTTCTCCAAAATGAGGTTGCTCCAAAAGTAATCTACAACAGGTAACATACTAATTGCTCAAAACCTTTTCCTAGAGCCGCACTTCAAAAGATCCAAACTACAACTTTAAGTACAACAAGTATAAAAATAGTACGCTGAGCAGATTTAGTTCAAGCTTCTACTGTCTTACTGCACAACAGACGTGCTCTATTTTTGGACCTCATTACTTACAGTTCGACCCCTGGTTAAAAATAAAATGAAGAGTAAAATAAAATAAAAAGAAAGTAAAACAACTAAAGAAAAGACTGAAAAGGATAGAGGAGAAGCAGAGGAAAACATAAATGCAAATTAAGGCTAGGTGGTCAAGTGTCTAGATTTGACGTTGAGGTCTTCACAGCAACCATTACCTTTGCTTCTTACAGAGCTAGTCAGGGGTTCAAATCCCCTCTTCTTTATTTCCTCATGTGCCCCTAAATGTTCAAAGATAAAGATATCAAAGTGTAGCTGTGGTCCCCACAAAAGACCACAGGAAAAACAGGGCAGCAAATTGATCTCCCTTTAAAAACAATGGAGCAGTCTGCATCAAGTTTAAGGAAGAATATTCTATAAAGTCCACTGAAACAGCGTACCATATAAGCCAGACTACATAAGCAAGACTGAGGTTAACAAAGATTTGGGAAAAACAAAACAAAAACAAATGTAACTACCCAACAGCATGCATAACACAATACCCATTTACGTTTGCCTACTAACTTTACTGACATCAATTTGTGAAGTATCCAGGATATGCAACTTATTCTGAAAATAAAATTAAAGAAATAACTCAGTCTGATGTTAAGTTTCTGGGAATGTCCAATGCTGCGGTTATACTCACCTGGTCATAACCGTAAGGGCGCTGCTGCTGGCCCTGTGGGGGTCCAGGCTGCGGAGGACGATAGGCCCCATACTGCTGCCCCTGCCCCTGAGGATAGTTAGGATACTGTCCTGGAGCAGTCTGGGTGGGACCTGAAAAATAACAAGGACCAAGTTTAAAACGAGTTAACTTTCCTGAGTGAGCATAAAATCCTTTAAGTCCATAAGTTACAGGCACTGTCAACACAAAGTAACAATTTATTAAAACTTGGCTAACTCTGTTGCTTTCACTAGTCAACTGGAATAAAAAAAAAAAACTGATTAAAGACCACAACAGATAAGTAGACATGGCAAAACATATCTATTAAGACAGGTTCTATAAACCTCAACTCAGAAATGACTCCAAACAAGTGAATCACGCGGGAACCAGGCAGAGGTTCCCGAATGCAAGGAGACGTCAAAGTGAGCCGGCTGGTCTTCACCGGAGAAGCAAGCTTCATTACAAAAAAAGTGAAAAACATATGTTTTTAAATCCTCTGTACACTGAAACTATGGTTGCAACTGCTGTGAAGGACTGAGAGTTGGGACAAATGAGGCCCACGCAGCATCGTTAGGCGATCCTAATGCCTTATGCTGTTGCGCATAACCTTGTGGGGGCCGTAGAGAACAGGCATGTGCATGTGCCAAATGGATCTCACCTCACAGCGTTTCCACTAGCTCATTACCAACATGAGATCTGGCTCAGACAGCAGGTGTGGGGACAGTTTCAGAAAAAAAAATGATGAGGAGAAAAGATCCAAGTACTAAACTTACATTTTAAACACAACACGGGACCGATCTGGGTTTAACCTATTAAAAATATTTAGGGTGTCAAGTTATTTATGATTAGGACTACTCTTCAGCTTTCTACTCCTAACTAATTGAGCTGCAAAGAAAATTAATATTTATACTTAAATATGATAAAAGTTACAACTTATCGTGGAAGAAGGGAGATAACTGGGTAACATAGTAAAACAGGGATGTCAAAGTATTTGTTACATCTTACATTGTAGATGAAGACAAGTTTTGATCAAAGATTTTTGTGAGGTGGACAAAGATGCTGAAAAAAGAAAAATACAGCAGCACCTTTTCCCCAAAGCCTTTATCTTCAAACTTTTTTTTGCTCCAGATGACACAAAGATCATCATTTCTCACGTTTACTGTTAAAAAAGTTAGCCAAGAGAGTGAATGGTGCCTCCTACAGGACAGAGACGTTCTTATTTTTAGAAGAATCCTAACTCACCATAACCTTGCTGCTGTGGTGGGTAACCTTGTTGTCCTGGGTACTGTTGTTGTGGTGGATAGCCTTGCTGCTGTGGTGGGCCTTGCTGGTATGGTTCCTGTTGTTGGCCATACTGCGCGTTACCTTCAAAGAGTATCAGCAGGCGTTGTAACCAGGCAATGCAGACACAAGTGCCATGAATATAAAATTATGACTAAGTATTTTCCAGCGTATAAGTCGCTCCAAAGTAAAAATAGGAAGAAGTAAAAAAATGCACAATAACGAGGAAAAAAAAAACAAATTTAATAGGGATGCACGATATTATCGACATGGTATTGGCCGATATTAGCAATAAAGTTAAATATCGGACATTCCATCAAAATAGCTCACCGATATAAAAGGCAATGTTTTTTTTTAAATATACATAATATATTTATATAGTATTACATAATTTTTAGCCCTCTTTTTGGCATCTGCATTTGGTAGCAGGCCAAATTGACAAATACCATGTAGAATGATGTAGTATTTTAATTCCACAGCAGAGAAAGCTACGTAGTCTCTGTAAATAAGTCTAGGGGGGAAAAAATACCCGTATTGGTATCGGCCAAATAAGTTTTAACATATCAGCATATCGGATATCAGCCAAAAATCCAATATCGTGCATCTGTAATATATAAGTCGCTTTGGCGTATGTCACATTTATTATGCGTCACCGCTGACCCGTCACGTTCATTTAATGGTTAAAACAGCTTAATTTCGCCTGGCGGCTCCATCCATCCATCTCGGTCAGAGCCACTAGCGCTCCAGAGTTCCTCTGCCTGCACCAGCGGAGTGAAGCGAGCGTGCACAAGACGTCTTGCTGTTGCAGTTCTTCGAAATTTAAAGCATCAGACAAAAACTACGTTATGGGATTAAAAAAAATAATAATTACATAAGACGCTTCGGTGTACAAATCACAGGACTGACAAATTTATGCAAAAAAAAAAAAAAAAAAAAACGGCGACTTATACGCCAGAAAATACGAAATGTTGATACATAAAAAAATGAAAGCTGTTAATGACACAATAGGCTTAGCCATTTTGAGAAAATTGGACAATTTTAACCCAGAATTAAAAAAAAGTTATAAGCTGGTAAATAAATTAAAAACTCTCGATGTAATCTAACAAGACTTCTTCAGACTGAAGAAGTCCTTTGGATACAAAACAAAACGTTTCAACAAAGAAGAACCCGTCCAGAGGACCTGACTCAACCTTGTTACATTTGTCTGAGCATGCATACGGACATTTTGATCTAGATGTAAGATTTATAGATTATGAAGACAATTCAATAATTTATGTGTTTTGTTGCCGTAATTGAAAGATTTAGTTTAAAACGGGAGGAAAAAGATCTGCGTTTGAAAGCTTTTAGGTGAGGAAAGTTAGTCAGAAGGGAATAAAAACACCACAAAAGGTTTATGTTAACAAGGCAAAGAGAAGGATTTGTGTAATCCTGAACACATTAAAGTGAAACAATATGCAGCTATAATGTTCATGTTTATATTTAAAAAATTATTGGTTGGTAAAAACTGTAGGTCACTTACATGCCTTTTTATATGGCACTGTATTTACATGGTGGACACAAGTGCGCCAACAAAGAAGTTCAAAAATAAAGATGTATAATGTGTAATAAAGAAATGATCATTTTATCTACATCACACAGCTTAAGTACATTTTTTATAATTGGGTCTCATGAAATTCATTGTTCCTGTTTTTAAAATGTGGTTGTGGGACATGACACAGCTGTCCCGACCTACCCTACTCCTCTTATGTAATATTTCAACAGATGTTGTCTTTTCTACAGCCTAAAACGTATCACACTTTCCCCAGAATATAATGAAGAAACTGAAATGTTTGGCTTCATCACAGTCTCTTTGCATCATTTGTGTTTTAACACAACTCCTGGGTTCATGTCATTGCCCGTCTTCTCCAAGTGACTGGACGGTTCTCCTACCTTCTGAGGCTCCCTGTCCTGCGTGACTGTACTGGTCGCCATAGTAGTCTTCCTGCCCTGGGTACTGCTGGGGGGGTCCTACATACAACATACACACAAGTAGATTCAAGGTGTTGTTGGATTAATCGGGTCAGGGGGTAGGGTAGAGAGGGTGTCCTGCTTCTAGCTCTAATTAAGACAACGTTCTCTTGGTCACCTTGCTGAATTTAAAGAGGCTGTGGGTACTTTAGGTTACACCAAGATGTCTGTAAACTACAGCAGGTGAAACTGAGAGGAACAAGAAAAGCAGGAAGAAAGGAGTCGAAAGGAAAGACTAACAATCACAGCTTGCACACGTCAAGACACACTTGGAGGGGTATACCTTGCTGTGGGGGTCTGTAGGGTGGCATTGGCCTCTGTCCCATGACATGGTTTCCTTGGTTGACCTGTCCCATCATACCCATTGGGTTCTGTTGTCCTTGATAGTGTTGTCCACCACCACCAGGGGGCATATTATACTGCTGCGATGGAGGCTGCTGATGCATCATTGGGCCTGAAGAATGCAACCAAGAACTACATTTCTAAACATGTCGAACAACCAAGGCACAGTGGATTAATGCATAAAAACCAAGAAAAAAAAAAAAAAAGAAAAAACAACTCCTGCTTTGCCTTACCTTGATTTGGCTGCATGTTCATGTTTGGTCGAGGCCCATAGTTTGCCATGGGTTGGCCCTGGGTCATGTTCATTTGACTCTGAGCTGGTATGCCCTGCGAGGAAGGAACTGCGTGATTGTAACCACCCATGGAGCCGTGGCTGCTGGGGGGCATATTCATCGAGCCACTGGACATGTTTGGGGGCTGGTTGGGGCCTGGACCAGGACCTTGAATGGGCATGTGATTAGGACCTGGAAAACAGCAGCAAAGATGATGATGATGATGATGATGATGATGATGAATTTTAAAACAAAAACAAAAAAAGTATAAATATGTTTCAGTGATTTATTTTTATTTCATGCAATTACTGATGCAGCGACTGATACAATGTTCTCCTTCAATCAAAGTAGACTTTTAATTAGGGTTTACTCAGATTTTGAGTTGCTACAATTAAAAATGTTTTAATTTACATACTGATAATAGACAACATTTTGTCAGGTGTACCGGTAAATATGGAGAATAAATAATTAAATGTGACTGTACAAATAGAAGTTAATTAGCATTTTAATTTCTCTGTTCAAATGCTTAAAGCTAACAACAACTGTATATACATACACAACAACTTGTAGTAGCCAAAATTCTCAATTTCATCATTACAAATAAAGAATTAATTCAGCCACCTGGAAACTCTTCTTCATGGTTAGTCCTGAAGATAGTACCTACAGTCTAAACCCATCAAGTACATATGTCTGTCTGCTTCACCTTCAATGTATATTAGAATAATTACTAATACAGTGACTAATTTCTTGATTTTCAGTTGGCAACTCTAAATTGTCCCTAGATGTGAGTGAAAGTATGAATGTTTGTCCAAAACCATTGCTGCAAACAAAATGGATGACATCATCCCTCAGCAAATAGAGACCTACCTCACAGTTCTGTGGTGTTGCTAGGCAACTCAAGTGAGACAGAAACTGAGGAGGAAGGAGAATGAGAAAAGAGAAGAAAAAAAGAAAGGCGGGGGGGGTGTTGTTCAGAGGACGACTTACCAGGCATCTGTCCATTCATTTGATTCTGCATATGAGGGGCTGGAGGGCCGCCGCTGACCATACTTTCAGAGGGCATGTTGTGACCGTGAGGGGGCTGAGGAGAAGGTCCACTTTGGTTCATGACACCAGGACCCATGGGCATGTTTTGAGTAGGTGGCTGTGGGCACAAAAATACAAATCAGTTCTCTAAAAGCACACATAAAATCAATTAAAGCTGTTTAAAGTGATGTTTATCCATTAATTGGTTAGTTTCTTACAAAGGAGTATGCAATCCATCAAGGATGACACAAAACAAAAAAGAAAACCCCTTCCCTTCAAATAGATTCTTACACAAAACAACGACTGATCAATGATGACTAATAAAATAAACTGGAAATAATTAGAAAATTCAGTTCACATTACAAACAAAAGAAAACCCTGCAGTACTTCGAGGTAAACATAAGAGCGCTGCAGGGTATATGTCAACATCTTTTACTACCAGTAAGTAAAAGGCAAGTTTTAGCAATGTTAAGCAGTTGTATTTATTTTGCTTAAGATACATTGTCATTACAAAAGATATAAATATAAATAAAGATTAAAACACCACATGTCTGACATTTTGTTAATATATCTGGATATAGTAGTTTTATTGTTCCTTGAATACTTGAAAAAGCACAAAAAATAGTCTGTGACGGAGATGCTGGTGAAGATTCTCAGTTATCAGTCACTCCAAAAAACGGTTAAAAACCAAAAATATCTGGACTTTATTATGAAGCTGGAGCCGTTTTGTTTCCCATCTGGGAAGCTTTCTCAATTCAAAAATTGATATTTGAATCTATATCTGAAATTCAATTTTTGAACAGACAACGCATCCTGGATGGGAAGCGAAACAGCTCCAGCATCAGAATAGAAGTCCAGGTGTTATTTTATACCTTTTTTGGATTATCTGGGACTGATGTTAAACCTCAATACTTACAGTTGAACACAACATTACTTCATAAGGCATACAAATCCAATTACATAAACATGAGTTACAATTTATTCGATCAAAACAATTAGTCTAAAATAATACTCACAGCAGGGAGGAGAGACTGCATGTTCTGATTGGAGTCTGCTATTGTGGCCAAATACACTAAATTTCTGTGCAGCATCTGTTGATACCTGGGAGGACGGAGAGTGAAGAATAAATCAAACATAATTACAGTGAAAAAAGGGGAATAAATACATAAAACAATTATAACTTACTGTGAACACTCTGCTGTTTTGCCTTTACTCTGGAAGTCCATTATACACTGGATCAGCTGGTTGTTTTCATCAAGTAACTACAAAAGTGAGCACACATTTATGTGACGTTTGTGTTGTGTCTCGTAACATATAGACAGATTTAAACAAATGGGAACATTTAATCGTTAGATGTGACTAGCTTTGTGTTGTTTTGCTGTCATTTGAAAACAAAGGGGGGAGGTTTATGTGAAAAGTGAGCGTGCGTTTCTAGCTAACAAAAGACACGTCTAATGCTAGCTGTCCTCTGCTAACAAAACCAGAGGCCTCCATTCATCTAACACACAATTGCACGTCCTACGACGAATCCACATAAGCTTCGTCGCGTCCACATGGTTTCAGGGAGGTTCATATTCACCGCGCTTACACCGCATAACCATGTATTCGATCTGCCCACTGTCGGACCTGGATGGGCACTGCTAACACTGACATCAATGTTAACGGCTAGCAACGCTCGGTGGCACAGCCTCCATCACGCGCCGCGCTAAAAGATGAATTACCTTTTGTATTCCTGCGGGGGTTATATCGCCCTTCCGTTGCCTGTGAGGAGCAAACGCCACCGACATGGTGATGAAATTACAAATGAAAGTACACTAAAACATAAAAATCAGAAGTAGCCAACAAATACAGAAGACAAATCGGAGGAACTGTGATCACACACACAGCTCTGAATGCGAGTCGATTTCATAATGCAGTGGTCCGTTTTGGGGGGAGGAGGCAGTAACAAATTAAATAATATCGCTGTTTTTGGTTTTTATTGAGGTGATTTTTAAATAATCAGTGTTTATTTTACATTTTAATATTTAACAATGTGTAAAATATGTTTGTTTTCTTACGAGGAGCACATTTTTGCCACGTTGTTAAATCACATTCTCACCTATTTTTCATATAGTGGAACGGTCCATAGCCAAGAACGTCAAGGCTATAAAATGTGGAAATTCTAAAAATGTGTAATAATAATAATAGTAGTAATAATAATAATGAAGGCATTACTTGTTAACATTAGCGAATATTCTTTTTTGTTTGTTTGTTTGTTGTCACTTTTAGAACAGGTCATACTAAAAAAAAAATAAAACCCAATTAATGAAATATGGACTATCATTAGGTGATCATATGTATTTTAAAACCATATTCATCTCAATAAAATTAGTAGCAATGTAGCGCATTTTAATAAAATCATTTTCTGCAAGCCCCTACATTTGGTATCGTCGCAGTTCATAGGTCACGCGCATGCGCAATTAACAAAACCCAAAGTGAACTGCTTGTTGCTAACTAGCTGAATCATTTCGAAGAGGTTGCTTCTTTTCTCAGTTTTTGTGTGTTTGGGTTTGTCTTGCAGTACAATGGCAGCGAGATATGACAGAGCCATCACTGTCTTTTCTCCCGATGGTCATCTCTTTCAAGTGGAGTATGCACAAGAAGCTGTAAAGAAAGGTTCAACAGCGGTACGTTAAAATGCAAACAATGCTAAAGAGCTAACGTGGTCGGCTAGCAACTAGCAGATACTCTACTTCAGCTAATTGTTTTATTTTACATCGTCCATATGTGCTAGACTTTTACGTTTCTCTTGCGATGACTTTTGACTGCAGGTATGTCAGGTTTACTAATAAAACAGCAAATATAAAGTCAATAAAAAGTAACGCGGTTATCATTAGCATTTTGTCGCTGTGTCACTCTTATTATACTTTCAGTTTTGATCTGTCTTATGTGAAGTTGCAGCGGTTTGGAAAAAGCCGTGACTGACAGTGGTTTCTGCTAAACTTGTAAAAACAGAGTTAAAGCTATGACCAAAGCCAGTCACTGCTGAAGAACAGTTTTAATTAATGTCTGTTCCTGCCATTTTAATTCCTTAATCAATGTAATAAGAGAGTGGTTATTGAAAGTGATTTTTACTTTATAAGTTTAATGATTATTCAAATTATTGTAGCTGGAGTTTTAATTTCTAAATAAAATTTTAAAAAAGACTATTATTTCATACATAATGATTAGACCAAAAAATCTGGTAAAATTTCATAAAATTATATTTTAAAGTTTTTATTTCTGTTTGGTTTCTATTTGTTGAACCCTTTTCGTGGCACCTATTTTCAAAATACTAAGAGGGTGAAAATATGAAGATATGGTATTACTGCGTAACAATTCATGCATACTGGGTAGTCAGTGCTTTTATCACCTGATTGATGTCTTGCTAAGGCTACAGTAGCTAAAACTCAGGCTACAGTAGCTAAAATTCAGGCTACAGTAGCTAAAACTCAGGCTACAGTAGCTAAAACTC